TTTTTCCTTTGATGTGTCCCCCGTCGGACGGATTCCTTTTGTTTGTTTTAAGTTTATTTTATACAAAAGTTTAGGTCTTTTATTTATCGATTGAGGCACTACGAAGTCTGCCGGGTCAGCTAGTAATACATATTAATTGAATTCTTTAAAATCCGTTCATAGTTTCATTTATTCAACGCTCCGGTCGTGTTAGTTATTCAGAATAATTGGAAGACCGGTGGATATGATGAGTTTATAATTCGAATTATACCGCTCTCGTGGGAGCAGTTAACAAATTATTTACAAAATTATTTAAAAATAAATAATAGATAACTGGGAACCAATTAGGCACGGTCACCCGCCCCAATTTAGGGTTCTCTCTGTGTGTGTGAGTGTGTGTGTGTGTTTAAATGTATACCACCCAGACAAAGAGCAAATGAAAATGTTCATTAAACAATACTTGCTCGATGTGGGAATCGAACTCACGACCCTCGGCGCAACAATCAGGGCCACTAACTACCGAACCACCGAGTCAGTTATACTGTAACTGGTCTGCCATAAGCAAAGCCAAATACAGATATCCTAAAGCAGCATAAATCTTTGTATATAATAATATGTATTTTGTTTTCTTTATTGTAGTTTCCTTCGCCGTTGCTTAGGGATAAGTAAGTTGTTGCTAAGAACTCTTTTCAGATCTCGTTTGGAGATAGTAATGTCGTAGCACTCTGGTAACACCGAGATATTACTTTCCTATATTATTTGTGTCCGTGTATTTAATATTGGAATTAGAAAATAAATTCTTTGAAACACGAAAACAACTTATCGCTATTATTCACCACATCACTAAAGCACATGCTTTAACCATGTGACACATGTTTGAGAGAACAAAACAAAAAAGCTTTATGAGAAAGTGGAAGTAACAACTACTTGTTACTGGAGCTTTCGTGACCGTCCAGCTGCTATTGATTCATTCTTATTTCTTTATTAGCCTAGAAATAAAGACGAACCCATGACCAGCGTTACCTAGATATTGGAGCCATCACACACCGTAGAGTCAAAGCCAATCCCTTTTAATACAATCTACCTGAGATAAAATTTCTATCTTATCTTATCTTATACCCTTAAACGAGCAATTCTTGTATATATAATTATATAATCTGAATCTCGGAAACGGCTCCAACGATTTTAATAAAATTTAGTACACAAGGGATTTCAGGGGCGATAAATCGATCTAACTACGATTTATTTTCAGACAATGTTGTTTTATTCGTGTTTTCAATAATGAACTTTATTGATATCTTCCCGACATCTATTGGCGAATAATAATACTATTTTTCATAATTTCATCTAACTGCTTTAAAGACACATTAACGCTAAAGCTTAGCCCACTGAGTTTCTCGCCGGATCTTCTCAGTGGGTCGCGTTTCCGGTGGTAGATTCTGCGAAGCACTGCTCTTGCTAGGGTCAATGTTAGCAACTCTCCGGTTGAGCCTCGTGAGCTCACCTACAAACGTTAGGGCAAAGCTGAAATAGCCTCTCAAGGCTATCAGCATATGTAGGGGGAAAAAAAACTAAAGCTATTTCAGCAGTGCTCTGAGGAATTGTTCGAGATGATACCGGAATCTCGTTTTTACCATCGCAACGTCCGCCACCGGAGTAGAGTTCATCCATACTACCTGGAGCCCCTGCGGTCATCCACAGTGCGTTTCCAGAGATCTTTTTTGCCACGTACCATCCGGCTATGGAATGAGCTCCCCAGGGTGTTTCCCGAGCGCTATGACATGTCCTTCTTCAAACGAGGCTTGTGGGGAGTATTAAGCGGTAGGCAGCGGCTTGGCTCTGCCCCTGGCATTGCTGAAGTCCATGGGCGACGGTAACCACTCACCATCAGGTGGGCCGTATGCTCGTCTGCCTACAAGGGCAATAAAAAAAAAAAAAGCAGATGGCGTTGTTAAGCCACTTATCAAAAAAAAATCGTCTAGTTTAAATTATTTAAAAACACCTTTATCATTCCATCTCGCGCTTAACTTTTATGTTCATTAAATTAGAGACAGTCAAGGTGTGTTTACACGAAATGGAGACTAAATGCACGCGCAATAAGATATTACGAGACCAGTGCCCAAACGATATTTTAAAATCTAGAAATTTTAACAGACGAAATTACTTTAGCAATTTAATTTTATTTAATTTTAACGGTCGTCGGAAATTTTATTAATTCAAATAATAAATTCTAAACTGTTTTCGTCTCTGAGAAGAACAAAAAAATGTACAAGGTCTTGAAGATGTCAAAAGTTTAAAATGCCAACCAAGTAGGGCGCGTCCCGGGGCGCGTTGGTTGAAGACTTATTGGATTTGCTAATTTCATTACACCAGGACGAAAGCGTTCGGGATTCACGATCGACATTTACACCGTAGTGTAACCATCAACTTCGTAAGCCGTAATCAAATATAATACTAATGACGATACATTAAAGTTCGTCATCGGCATAACGTAAACCCTAGGAACTCCTTGAGAGAGCTACGTCAATTAGACCCAAATATTATCCTCTCATAGGCTTAAGGAAACTGCCTAAGAAAGAGCGATACGAATGAGCAATAAGCATATGTTAAATTGAAAGCCAATTGAAGCTGGAAGCGAGTCACCGGGTAGACGAATCCTCGAAAACATTTCGTACCTAACGCATGCTTCTGCACATCATCAGCGCAACCACAACCATTCTGACAAGAAGAACAAACTAAGAAAAATAAAAAATTACTAAATGGCACTGCTATTGGAATACTGCGTGGGAATGCGGCCCTTGCTTCAGGCCATTTCAGTCTAATTCGTTGAGTTTAAATTACTGTTACGTTAACAAACAATTAATAAGTACCTAAATATAAAAAGAAATGACTTGCCCGCTGAGTTTGATCCGCCGGCTTTTCTCCGGATTGTGGCTTCTGGGAAGCGATATTTTGTTTTGACTTTCAATAAAAATATTCAATGACATCTAAATAAATAAATCAAATTATGATTTTGAAGTTTAGTAAATGTGCATAGTCCTGAGAACTAATTCACGGGATTTCTATTGAAATTATTTATTGGTCCAAAGAATTGAAATTCCACAAATTCAGCAAGTAATTGAAACGCTACAAGTAATCTATACATAAAAATAAAATTGGAGTGTCTGTTTGTAATATTGAACTAGCCTCTTTTTACTACATGCATATGAATATACCTATATATACGGTACATACACCAAAATAACATTTTTTTACAATTTTTGTCTGTGTCTGTCTGTTTGTTCCGGCTAATCTCTGGAACGTCTAGACCGATTTTGACGGGACTTTCATTGATAGCTGATGATATAAGGAGTAGCTTAGGCTACTTTTTTTAGACTAGCTTCACCCCGCGGCTTCACACGCGGCACGTAAATAACCGCGGGTAACAATAATAAAATGTAATTTTTCCGAAGCGAAGCGAGGGCAGGTCGCTAGTCAATAATAAAATTTAATGTTTCCGAAGCGAAGCGAGGGCGGGTCGTTAGTCCCAAATAAAAATCGAATAGAGAAATTGCTGCCTTGAATTTTGAATGTAAATGTATTGTTTTGGTTGTAAATAGTCCTCAGAGTCATTGAAAAGTTACAACAACGAACACTAACGGTGTGAACGTCGGCAGATCTTCATTCGTGTCGGAAATTAGATTGAATAGGATTATTCGTCATTACCGCAGCCAAAATTATATGTACTTACCTTTTGTGGGCGCCTCGGATGTTATTCAACGAAGCGATGATTTGTCAAAAAAAAAAAAACATTTTCAAATAACTAGGTATGTGTTACGCGCTATCACCGGCGCCATTGAATGTCGTAAGCGGCGATAATACATCGAAAACCTCCTCAGTTGGAGATTCGTCGTGTTATTCAGGAATGAAAAAGCAAGCACGGAGGAAAATGGACGCTGATAAAAAAATATATAGACTTTTTTTTAAACCACTTTAAAAAATTCAATTTCAAATTGTTCTACAATTCATTTCAAAATATTTTTAAATAAAAAGATTATTGCACTATAGATTATTTATTCTACGTAGCTATGTTTTAATAATTACTTGAAAATGCTATCGCTTCTCAAATTATTGACAACATCGGTGGCTTAGAGAAACCGGAGCCGTTGCCTCCAAAAAAATTCACCTGTAACATCGTACTGTATTCCTGCCTTCCTTCCATCCTATCAGGGACTTTTTGGCGGAAACGCGAAGAGTGAAGTTGTGTGATTTGCTAAACGTAACGTAGCCTATGGTTAATTAAATTAGAATTTTGAAGTTGACCGGTTGATGTGTTTGTTTCGAGTTTCTATTCGCTTATAGTGCTGAGATGACGATTCTTAATGATTATCTAATCATTAAGAAAGCCATGCCGCGACCAAAACGATCAAATCTTTCCCGACGAAGCCGTAATGCAACTAGGAATCGAAACATTGCGAGTAAAAGGACTGAAGAAGAACAAGAAAATATAATAATAAAAACTAAAATAAATGGCCAGTAAAGAAGAATCATTCAAATAGTTGCTTTTGAAGTTATACTTCTTTAGGCGCGTTATGAAAAATTGATGGCAGTGAAATTTTACGATGGGCGCGCACCGTGACACAAAATTAACAGAAATGAAGTTGCCCACTAAATCGCTCATTACAATATATATGACCGACGTAACTTGGCGAGTCTGAATATAGCCGCAGGTGAATTTTCCGAACCGTACCGAGAATTACCGAATTTATACGATGACAAGAAAAGGGATGTCCAATATGCGTGTTTGAGGATGTTATTTAATCGATTTTTTTTTAATTGATTAAAATTTAAATAAAAAAAAAGAAATAAATTTCATAAAAAAAAAGTATAACTTCTTACGCGCGTACATAAATAAGTACACGCACCCTTTTTTTTTAATTTACATTAATTATCCAAATAAAAAATTGACCTTGATAAAATCAATCATTGCCTCTAAGGCGGTACGAAGTTCGCTGGATCAGCTAGTATTATATTACACATACCTCGTTTCATTCCGAATCTGTTCTCGAATATACTCATAATATAACCGAGTATAGAGTCGTCCTTCTGTTTGTACTGAACGTCCAGATAATCTTTGTTAATTTGAACTGGATCTAAATAGTCTTCCACCGGTAATTTTGTCTGGAACATTTACATTAAGTATTTAGTGTGGCTTAAAAACAAAAACAACATACGCTTAAATAGTAAACCGATTTTTGGTTGCTTAAGTCGGTGGACGAGCTCACGGCCCACCTGGTGTTGAGGCCGCCATCTAACTTGAGATATGAGTTCTAAGGTCTCAGTATGACGGCTCACCTACCCTTCAAATCGAAACTAATTACTGCTTCACGGCAGAAATAGGCCTTGAAGTGGTGGTACTTACCCGTGCGGACTCACAAAAGGTCCTACCACGTTAAAATAATTCATACCTTCACGCTTTGATTTTCAATAACGTTTTCATTGTTCACATGCACCGAATCATACATATTTGCCATCGGATCATTGCTCTCATATATGTTTGTTTCTTTATCATCCACACCATTTTCCACCACGCAACCAACATCATTGAGCGGATCAGTCTTTTTGCCACCAAAAAACGGCATCCTAAATGATTGGATAAGTTCTTGAATTTTAACCATACACGGTTTAGAAGTCTGGCTTAAATTACAGCTGCTTATTTTGTCGTCTCTTAGAAAATTTTTAGTATTCTCAGGTATTTCATTGTAATTCAAGTCTTCGTAAAGATGATCCTCTGCATATTTATCCGTAAATTCTTCAGTTGTCGATATAGATTTGTACTTGGTTCCCCATTCGGGTCTCTTGTATAATTTGTTTATGTAAAATATACTAGTCCTTTTCATTGGATAGTATTTGTCCGTAGTTTCTTGCTTAAGCCGGGAACGTAAGTCAAACAATGGATATTCATATGAGTTTAGCCTGAAGAACTTTTTGGAGCGCTTTGGAGATACAGGCTTCATGGGAAGATAGGACGGTGCGGCCTTATTAATTTGCTTTGGTTGGTTCCTGTACAGGAAGCTTTTAACCGGTACCCATTTTTTCAATAAATCTTCGATGCTATTATTGACGTTAACAAGTTCTTCTGTACCCTTTTTTTTAACTGTTTGATACTGGCTCTCTATTAAAGCCATCTCAGCTTCAGATTTATCATCGATCGATTCACTTGTATTCAAATATTTATCTGGGTCGCGTTTTAGGTCCTCGAGGAATGCAATGAATTTCTTAGCATTAGATTGTGGTCTCCATAGCTTTACTATCCCTTCTGTAACATCCTGCGAAAGGAAATTATCAAACACATATATAATCGGTATGTTCATCCATTAGTCTATTTATAATGCTTAAAAAGACGTGTTAATGATAAACTACTTTTCATTCATCAATTGGATCTCTGCCAGAACTTTGGGATTAATTCTAATAATGAACTTAACCGAAATTTAAATTTTCAATTTATGTGGAATAAGAATGAATATACCTAATATAATAACGTAACATTTACATAAATCTTTTAGATCGAAATATTCAATGCCTAAGCCTAAAACTTAACATTTTCAAGCCCCGTTAAAATTTGAAGTCGTCTCACTTCATGAAATATACAATTCTAGTTATCTTATTACATATTATATAGAGCCACACGCACAGGTCGTCTCTCCAGCGCTCTATAAACAACTGGAATTAACTCTATAATGGTATATGTGGGAAACATTGAGCCACACAATCAGGCTATAGCCACAAACATCGGCGCGATATTCCGTCAGTGCTTTGAAGTTTCCTTATTTCTCTAACGTATCAAGTGAATTTACTGTAGAGAATACACATTGTTGAGAGAGTACGTATTCAAAAGCCACAGTTATCACTCATGATTAGTTAGGTCTATCTTTGACATTATGTACACAATAATCTATATATTAATACATGAAGCAAAAACTTTGTACCCCTTTTTACGAAAATTGCGCGGACGGAGGAGTATGAAATTTCCCGCACTTATAGAGAATATAGAGAAGGAGTGCACAATGCTAATTTTTTTTTAAATAATGCGTAAAAGATACATTAAATCAATAAATAAAACATTACACAACTGCCATGTATTTGACACACACACATATGTATATTATATACTCTTTGTTTATTGTCAAACTTTAGTTAATGCTTAAAATCTGTGGTCAAATTGAAAATGGGTTATTATTGTTTATCTTTAATATTATTTGTCTATAGTGTAGTCTTGGCGAAATCTGTGATTATAGAAGTATAATAAATAGTCTGACAATATAACCATAACAATGTTCAAACTTATACTTTCAATTAATTATAGTCGAATTTCGACTACTGCGGAACCACTAGTATTTAAAAATCGCTGAAGAACAAAAACGACTACGTTCAAAAAACTATATAAATAAAAAATAATGTAAAAGTTGAAAACATCAACTTTTAATATGAAACTTTCTAGAATTAATAGTTGTTACAACAATGTGTATGTCGACGGAGAGAAAATTTTGTACCGAAAAGTTAGGCCCGCCTGCTCTGTAGTTATTAGTTGAATAGTTAAGGAATATTTTTATAAAATTTGTTTTAAAGAAGTAAAAGTTTTTTATTGTTAAATTTTTTTAAGATTACGTTGCTCTGTAGGCTTTAGATGGAATTATTGAAAATTTCAAAGAATCTAATCATAAAAATATATCTGCAACTCTCGTGTTTATTTTTGTATATTTAATTCGTTGAATTAGTGCTAATCATTTATCTATCAGTGTCCCACCTGCCTAATGTAATCGAGCTCACACGGCTCATCCTGAAATGGATAACATCGGCCCTTTTTTTTTTTTAGCAGCATAGCTTTTTTTTTTCTTAGATGTGTGAACGAGTTCACAGCCCACCTGGTGTTAAGAGGTTACTGGAGCGCATAGACTTCTACAACGTAAATGCGCCACACACCTTGAGATATAAGTTCTAAGGTATTAGTATAGTTACAACGGCTGCCCCACCCTTCAAACCGAAACGCATTACTGCTTCACGGCAGAAACAGGAGGGGCGGTGGTACCTACCCGTGCGGACTCACAAGAGGTCCTACCACCAAAAGAACTAGAAAACTACTATAAAAGAATGAAATACTCAAATTGAGTAGTCAAATCAGTCAAGTAGTTTTTTTTCGGTCTAATCGCCTTTAAGGCCTATACCGGCTTCTCCAGATAGATAATCGAGCTGAGGGGTCATACTGAAATGGCTAACATACTGAAATGCCCTAGCAGCATAGCTTCGCTGAATCTACCACCAGATCAGAATCGTGACCCACTAACAGAGAAGATCAAGCATGAAACTCTATGGCTTAAGTTGCAAGTTGAACTCTTCATCGCGTTGGACGATAACTTGTTTTCTTTTTATTTGTACCGCAAATAAAAAAAGAATACGAAACCACTACGTAAACGACACCACCCTTGAGACATGATGGTCACACATGGTCATGGACATGGTCACAATATCAAATGTTTTGCATCACGGCTGTCTCACAATTCGATACTAATAATAACTTGGTACTTTTTCGTGGTCACAGACATCTATCTATCTATCTCTTAGGTTTATGGCGTTTCCTTTTAGATTTCACCAATGTCAAGTGTATTTAATACTCTGCTTTCTATAGCGGGCTTCGTGAACGAGCAAGGTCACAGATATTCACTTAATTTGTTATTAATCGACATTTGAACACTCTATTAAGCGATAAAGAAATTAAGACGGTAGTTGGAAAAATATTCGAAACTCATGAAAACTAAAGAAATTATGTAGATCAAAGATCAGGGAATTTTGTTAAATTACCACAAAATACATATTATTATGTTCAGTTTACAAAGAAATTATTTGGATACTGATCGCAGTATTACTGATAGTTGAACGATCTAGTTATACTTCTGGTATTGCTGACAACTCTGAGTGATGGTAAGCACTCACCATCACTATCAAGTGAGCCTTGAGCTTGTCACCCTACAAAGACAATAAACACCTCTAGTGAGTCCGCAAAGGTAGGTACCACCACCCTATTACTGCCGCGAAGCAGTTATGCGTTTCGGTTTGAAGGGTGGGGCAGCCGTTGTAGCCTGAGACCTTAGAACTAATATCTCAAGGTGGGTGGCGGCATTTACGTTGTAGATGTCTATGGGCTCCGGTACCCACTTAACACCAGGTGGGTTATGAGCTCATCCACTCAACTATTCAATAAAAAAAAACAGAAATTATCGACAACGAAATCTATTTGGATTAACGGTCTCGGCGAAAAACTTTGTGCTTACCTAAATTTATTTATAATTCCTGATGAGAATCCTCCTCCCGTTTCAAATGGAGTCGAGAATGTGTGCATATCACTTACGCGTCAAGAACGTGAGACCTGATTTAAAAGCTTCATAAATTTTAATGACTAGCGCCGTATTCAACATTCGCAGTCCGATGAAGGTTTTGATGGCGGTTACAGCGAAAACGATGGGAGTCTAGCAGATGCTGTGGTCGTGAGTTGTTGGATATGATGATGGCGTCATGTCATAGACTTAAATATAGCTCGTTTTGTCATGGCTTTACCATCATAGTACCTATTTCTGACACGAAGTAATCAGGGATTCTAGGTTGGTAGATGAGTTGACCGCAGTACACAATCATTGAGACTTCAACCAGATGCCAGTCTCGACCTGCCTATTTCTACCGTGAAGCAGTAATACGCTTCGGTTTCAAGCGTAGGGTAACCGTTGTAGTGTTAAAACTGAAACACATCTCTATATATAAAAATGAATTGCTATTCGTTAGTCTCGCTAAAACTCGAGAACGGCTGGACCGATTTGGTTAATTTTAGTCTTGAATTACTTGTGGAAGTCCAGAGAAGGTTTAAAAGGTAGATAAATATGAAAATGCTCGGAATTAAATAAAAATAACAATTTTGTTTTTCCTTTGATGTGTCCATGCGATGAAAAGCTTAGGTCTTTTATTTATCGATTGAGGCACTACGAAGTCTGCCGGGTCAGCTATTAAGTAATAAAAACGAATAAAAAACCCAACATGGTGTTGAACCACATCGGTGCGCAAGCTCGTAAAAGGGTTTTACATTTTAATTTCTAAAAACATTTGACCCTTCTGGCTCTTTAAATCAACGGAAGCACCTCATTGATTTATGTAAGATAAATAGTGACTGCTTGGAAATACCGTGATGGGAAGATTAGAGTTCAGTATAGTGGAAATGGACCCGCTCGTTGCGAAACTTTTAATTAAGGGTTAACACGAGTTTGCCTTTGAAATCGGACCGTATTTTGATAACGATTTTGTAGCCAGATCTCGTTTTTCGTGTGTTTAATTAGGTAATGATCTGATGGAGCCTTTTAGTTTAGCGGTTATAAATGTTAAATGAGAATGAACAGACTTTGTCCAAATTCGTCACGACTTGAGTTGCCAAATATGTAGCCCGTTTAACAAGGTGGGTGGCGCATTAACAGATGTCTATGGGCTCCACTTAACACCAGGTGGGCTGTTAGCTCGTTCACCCATCGAAGAAAAAACAAAGATGAACTTCTGAAAAATATCTATAAGCGCGTTTGAATTCGACTGAAAATATTTTTTTATTTGTTTTATGTATGAAGCTTGTGGCGAGTACTGAACGGGCAGCGGGTTGGCTGGGTCCCTGGTATTACTGGCGTCCATGGGCGATAGTAACCAATATGCTAGTCTGCCTAAACGACATAAAAAATAATCTATACTAATATATAAATAAATCTACAGTGGTTTTTACGGATGTTCCGTTATAACGACTGAACCATGCATCCGATTGACTTGAAACTTGGTATCCATGTAGAAAATACATGTACTTAATAGATTTTATAGACTTAATAGACATTTATATGAGTGTTGGACTCCCTAATAATAATGACAATAAATAATAATATTAATTTTAAATGCCCAACGAAGCAGGCTAGAACAATTATAGTAATATAGATAGATTAGCTGTTAGAATATTTGACGTAGAAAATAGTGAATATTTTTGTTTGAAATTAAATAAATCATCATTGCATCAGGGGAACAATTTTAAATGTAAAATTTAAGTGTCAATTTGTGATTTCGTTGTTAAGACTTCTTTGAAAACCAAATAACATTTAGATTATAATTTTTATAGACGTCATTAATGGCAAGGGCAAAGCCAAGCTGCTGCTTACATGGACAACATGGATTGAAGAATGACATGTCATACCACTCAGGAAACACCGTGGAGGGAAGTTCGTTCCAAAGCCGGATGGTACGTAACAAAAAAGATCTCTGGAAACGCACTGTGAATTAATGCGGCGGCCAGCAGTGTGGTATCAAAAACGAAATGACAGGTATCCTCTCAAACAATTATTATTTTATTACATTGTGTATTTGTATGTATATTTATGAATGTATTCTTTTTTTTTTATTGCTTAGATGAGTGGACGAGCTCACAGCCCACCTGGTGTTAAGTGGTTACTGGAGCCCATAGACATCTACAACGTAAATGCGCCACCCACCTCGAGATATAAGTTCTAAGGTCTCAGTACAGTTACAACGGCTACCCCACCCTTCAAACCGAAACGCATTACTGCTTCACGGCGGAAATAGGCGGGGTGGTGGTACCTACCCGTGTGGACTCACAAGAGGTCCTACCACCAGTGATTACGCAAATTATAATTTTGCGGGTTTGGTTTTTATTACACGATGTTATTCCTTCACCGTGGAAATCAATCGTGAACATTTGTTGAGTACGTATTTCATTAGAAAAATTGGTACCCGCCTGCGGGATTCGAACACCGGTGCATCGCTCAACTCGAATGCACCGGACGTCTTATCCGTTAGGCCACGACGACTATAAAATATATAATTATGTATGGTATTTGTGTATGTATATGTATGTGTATGTGTATATATATTTATTTAATTGGATTGGTACACCGCGCGTAATTCGTTGCCAAATGATTATTGTCAGCCTGATGGTAGTCTGGAAGAAATTGCTTTAGCGATAAGACCGCCAATTGTACTTTTTTGTAGTTAATGTTTCGCATTGTGTTTTTTTTTTATGTACAATAAAGAATACTCTCTCTTTCTCTCTCTCTCTCTCAATTCCTCACAGCACTCCCGCGTTTTAACTTACTGCGATTTTCCGTCCATCCAGTTGTTTTTCTTTAACGAAGTCCACAAACTCAACCAAGTCCCATGTTTGCAATAAATTCACAACACCCTCTATATCCAAGCTATCCAGTTTTTTATTTCTGTCTTGTATACTCATTATGACTCAACCTATTGGGCTATAAGAAAAAAATATTATTGTACCAACTAAAGGAGCTCACTGTCCAGTTAATTTCGGTTACTGCAGCCCATAGACATCACCACGTGAATACCGACACCCACTATAAGACAATAGGTCGTAATTTTAACGCCATATAGGTTGAAAGACACTAAAGAGTTTTCAATGAAATTGAACCTTTAAATTTAATAATTCCTGAAAGCGAACCGCGAAACAGCCATCAATGCTAAGTATATTTATTGAACTTAGTAAAATCAGGTTATCTGAAATACTGTCCATTACTACCACAAAACAGTCATTCTGATTTCAGCTCGAAGGTCGCGACAGCCTTTGTAAGAGCCTCAATGTGTATCACGGAATCCACTACCATTAAGTCACATGGTAAGTCCTGAACTCGTCTATCGATCTAATTCTTCACAATGATGAGCAAAGCTAATTTGCTGACTTAGCTGGTGATAGGACCTCTTGTGACTGGTGGTAAGACCTCTTGTGAGTCCGCACGGGTAGGTACCACCCCCCTGCCTATTTCTGCCGTTCAGCAGTAATGCGTTTCGGTTTGAAGGGTGGGGCAGCCGTTGTAACTATACTGAGACCTTCGAACTTATATCTCAAGGTGGGTGGCGCATTTACGTTGTAGATGTCTATGGGCTCCAGTAACCGCCTAACACCGGGTAGGCTGTAAGCTCGTCCACCCATCTAACCAATAAAAAATATTTAAAAAAATTAAAAATCCTCTTTACTTTGCTAATTATGCTCATCACTAATTCTTTAAAGTAAAAATGAAAAAAAAAACACATGTATCTACAGCTAAATAGTATTAAAACATATACTTACTACTACAAATATATTTAAAAATCCTCACAAAACACACAAAATATTCGAACCGCACTAACGAACTACGAACGCGCCGCGCAAGTTCTGTAACACCACTAAACGCTCTAATTGAAGCTTATTGAGTCGTGCTAATGGGGCATATATGATATCATGATTTTGATTTCATTGTTAAGAATATAGAATTATTATTCTTTGTGTGATTCCTCACATCACATATGGATGAGTGGCTTCTTGTTTTCAACATGGTTATAAATTAAAAGTTTACACGCTTGTGACGCCGCCTCCTTGCGATAATTACGATAATTTATAATTTATAATTGGCGATAAAAAATTTTATTGCCCTTGTAGGCAGACAAGCATACGGTCCACCTGACGGTGAGTGGTTACCGTCGCCCATGGACTTCAGCAATACCAGTGGACGAGCCAAGCCGCTGCCTACCTCTTAATACTCTCCACAAGCCTCGTTTGAAGAAGGACATGTCATAGCGCTCGAGAAACACCGTGGACCTTAGAACTTATATCTCAAGGTGGGTGGCGCATTTACGTCTTAGATATCTATGGGCTCCAATAACCACTTGACACCAGGTGGGCTGTGAGCTCGTCCACCCATCTAAGCAATAAATAAATAAAAAATAAAAAATTTTAGTCCTCCTTGAAGGCGTAAGAATTTAAAAAATAACTGGGACGACGTAGGTTCAGTACTCTAAAATAAAATCAACACTTATTGCCAAATGTTCACGGACGTCGTAAAAGACATGAAATAGGAGCAATGCGCACAATATATTATGTAAAAGGTCATGCATTACATACTCAACCACATCTTACCACACATTTCTTATTTTTTTCCCTTTTTAAAACGCTTCCGAAAGCGAAGACCGGCAGCAAATCCAAACAATCGGCAGTAAGTGCAATAAGACAAAAAATACCTTCAAATATTTACTTTCTTCCATTTTGTTTTATTTGCACGCAATGGAACACAACTAATCTACCATTGATGTGTGAGGTCAGTGATTTCAAATTAACAAGCACAGGGAACAACCTCATTATATACCCTGGACCCGGTCACTGTTGTCGTCGAACCCGTCGCTTGCGACGAAGGACTCAACGAGCGAATTAACCCCCACTGAGTTTCTCGCCGGATCTTCTCAGTGGCTTGCGTTTCCGATCCGGTGGTAGATTCTGCGAAGCACAGCTCTTGCTAGGATCAGTATTAGCATCACTCCGGTTTGAGCCCCGTGATCTCACCTACTAGTTAGGTTACGCTGAAATAACCTCTCAAGGCTATCAGCTTAGGTAGGAGAAAAAAAAAACCCTGGTAAAATAATTTGTGTGAAAAACTAAACACAAAAGCTAAGGAGTTTACTGGTGGTAGGACCTCTTGTGAGTCCGCACGGGTAGGTACCACCACCCTGCTTATTTCTGCCGTGAAGCAGTAATGCGTTTCGGTTTGAAGGGTGGGGCAGCCGTTGTAACTATAATTGAGACCTTAGAACTTATATCTCAAGGTGGGTGGCGCATTTACTTTGTAGATGTCTATGGGCTCCAGTAACCACTTAACACCAGGTGGGCTGTGAGCTAGTCCACTCACCTAAGCAACAAAAAAAAAAAAGTTTTTAAGCATTAAGAACAAAACCGCGATTAAACGCGGGTTGATTTTAATTAGGGCGTGTATGAAATATCTGCCGTTACGCAGGATGTCGGCTCGATCGAAATAAATTGCTTCATTTGAAACCAATCAGCGATAGATTCCGGCCGGGTATCGCGTTCCTAATTTATGCAATATTCGATGAATTTATTTTTCCTTTATTGTCGAATTATATTATCTACTGGTATTTGGTTATTTGGCGGTATTTTGGCCTAAAATTGCACGACCCCTTCGCTTCACCGTTGCAGTCATCAACCGGCCTTTGATGGTGACAGTGCTTATCCTCCTCCTCCTCGCATCGTTTCCTCACTGCTGAGGGTCGTGACCATTATAATTCGACATGATTTTACTCCTTGTGATGTCCCGCCAGCGCCTCCGATCATTGGCCGCATGAAGGGCGCATGAAGTGCTTATCCATGCGTCTATTTACTGGTGGTAGGACCTCTTGTGAGTCCGCGCTGGTAGGTACCACCGTCCGGCCTATTTCTACCATGAAGCAGTAACGCGTTTCGGTTTGAAGGGTGGGGCAGCCGTTGTAACTATACTGAGACCTTAGAGCTCATATGTGCCAGAGCTTAGAACTACTCAAGGTAGGTGGCGACATTTACGTTGTTGATGTCTATGGGCTCCGGCAACCACTTAAGACCAGGTGGGCTGTGAGCTTGTCCACCCATCTATCTATGCAATAAATAAATAAAAGACAAGTACATCCAAGCCTAGATTACAAAAATCTCCCACGGAGGTCAGGTACAGTTTTCGCCAACACCAATCAGCCTAATTCTCTTTGAAATATTGGACGGCCGTTGTATAATAACTTCATTTCGTAGTTACAGATGAATCAACAAATAGAGAAGGTCATTGCTTTGTAGACCGACACTCTAAATGCTAATCGGAACTTGTATAAATGCAAACTTATCTTACAGTATTTTGCAGAGATTTTCGCAACTCCACATAATTAAAAGTTTTTTGACGGCTTAATCTCTTAGCCCTTAGAACGCGAACCATCGATAGATCGACTCTCCATTAATGTGTATAAAGTGCGGAGCGTCGCAATACCGACTATTGTGAAGTTTGATTATAATCGGCATTAGCATCGACTTGTTTTTTTCCTACCTATGCTGGTAGCCTTGAGAGGCTATTTCAGCGTAACCGTGGCTAGTAGGTGAGCTCACGGGGCTCAAACCTGACGACGATGCTAACACGAACCCTAGCAAGAGCCGTGCTTCGCAGAATCTACCACCGGATCGGAAACGCGACCCACTGAGAAGATCCGGCGAGAAACTCAGTGGGCTGTGTCTGAGAGTTAATTTACTCGTCAAGCCCTTCGTAGCAAGCGACGGGTTCGACGAGAACGGTGACCGGTGCTTGAAGTACCTACAAGCACCGTTAGTGGATCGGGAGGATCCGAGATTATGTGTTTTGGGCGACGTCGACTGCTTTCCATTCTGTCCGCAGGATCGGGAATGTAGTTACCGGCGGCCACGATGAGAGGGTTCTCGTGTCGTGCCGCTTTATCGAAGTGGCGCATCGACGCCGACTGTAGATACTTACTGATGGACTCTAAGTCCAGGTCGTCATGGAGGTCGACGTTCCTGACGAACCACGGGGCTCCGACGACTATCCTGCAAAAACGGGATTGAATGATTTGGAAGGACTATAAGTGAGTGCGGGCCGCGTGCGCGAACACTACACTTGCATAGGTCATGACGGGGCGTATGCAAGTTTTGTAGAGTGTCACCTTATTTCTAAGGGACATTTTACTTCGCCTGCAAATCAGCGGGTAGAGACGTCCTAGTATGAAGGCGGCACGGTCGTGTACCGTCTTGATGTGAGGGCGGAATGTCATCCTACTGTCGAGGGTGACGCCGTAATATTTGACATTCGGGGCCCACGGTATGGGCTGGTCGAACATCGTGATTGGGCGAATGGCGAAGGCGGAGGTGTCGACGCGCCTAGACGGGAGAGGGATGCTCAGCGTGGTGTTCGGAGGGCGGCCCCTTTTGAAGAGCACCGCTGTGCTTTTCGTGGGGTTAATGTCGATGCGCCACTTCCGGAACCACTGTCCCATGGTGGTAGCTGCGGTCTGAAATCGTCGATGAAGCAACGCCTTCTTCCTACACGAGTAGTAGATGGCGGTGTCATCGGCGAAGAGCGCCAGATGGGTCTCCGAAGACCGGGGTATATCATTGATATACAAACTGAATAGTAACGGGGAGAGGGCGGAGCCTTGCGGGACTCCGGCTGTGACGTGACGGGGGCGAGATCGCGTTCCCTCGACTCAATATCGGAACGAACGGTTCGACAAGTAGTCTCGTATGATGAGCACGAGTCTGTCTGGCACTCCCATGTTATAGAGTTTGTATATCAAACCGTTGTGCCAGACTTTGTCGAACGCCTCGAAGAAGAGAGCTCCTGTCGGAATGGACATCGACTTATACGGACGTGTCTTAGCGCGCGCGTGTATGACGTTTTTAATAAGATATTAACATTTATAAATAACCAT